TTCAATTTGACATTCGGGACATTCTCTAGAATCCAATCCGCTTTATTCAGCGTCCCCATGCTAGGTGATGGCTCTCTGGTCTCTTGAACGTCTTTAATAATCGTCGTGGAGGGTTCGGAGACATTCGTAGAAGAATCGGGTGTGTCGATGTGAAAAACGTCCGATTTGCTCAGGGACTGGATCCGGTCCGATTCCATGGATCAAGCTTCTGTAAAACTCCAATTTCGTCCGATCCTTCGTTCAATGCTCGCGTAAGCTCTCGGATATCCTCCCAATTGCTGTATATGCTCTCGTTTGATGCTAGGAGAGATATCTCTAAAGGATCGACTTCCCGAAACTGATCGAAGGCTTCTTGAGTGAGGATTTCATGCACATCGACATAGCATGCTGAATCGGTGGTAGACGGCTGTTTCATGTTGTGATCTAAGGTGAACTCCACAGTCTCGTCACCTATCTTCATTGTGAGACGACCAGCACGAACATGAACCACCGCATCGGCCGTGTTTAAGAACGGTCGGCCTAGTATAATCGGTATCTTCGAGTCTTCGTCCATGTCTAAAACAACAAAATCAACGGGAACATAATAATCCCCGACTTTCAATGGGACATCCTCGAGAATACCTGCAGGATACTTGACGGATCTATCCGCAAGCTGTAGTGCCATCCTCGTCGGCTTAAGATCTCCAACGTTGAGCTTCTTATAGATAGACAATGGAAGCAAGCTCACACTGGCACCTAAATCGCACAATGCACGGTCAATCTCAATGTTCCCGATTTTGCAAGGAATCGAGAAACTACCTGGATCCGATCTCTTTCGTGGCAACTCATGCTGTAGAATCGCAGCGCTCACCTCTGTGCTCAAGGATACTATCTCCTTCCCAATCACCCTCTTCTTAGTCAAGATATCTTTCAAAAATTTCGCATAAGAAGGGATCTGAAGTATCGTCTCATAGAAAGGCATCTTAACCTCTAACTTCCGAAGCATATCAACAAATCTGGACAACTGTGTATCCTCAGTATGCTTCTTCAATCGAGAAGGGAAAGGAACGGGTGGTACATAAGGTGGGGGAGCTACATAAGGCGGTTCAACTTCCTCTACATGCACCTTAGGTGTCTCGTGAGCTATGGCTTTCCCTTTCTCTTCAGTAGTGTGTCTAGACGTCGTCCCTTTTTCTGTGGTAGTAATAGGGACCGTCTCAGGCAGACTTTCTCCACTTATAAGCTGAATGGCATTGACGTGTTCTCGTGGATTCGGTTCGGGCTTTCCAGGAAAGGTGCCCTGCTGTCTAGAGGGTTCTGATGTAAGCTGCGCAATCTGCATGTCCACATGCTTCAGATGAGCCTCGAATCCATCTAATCTCCTCTCAAAGGTGTCTTGCCTGACTTTTATACTCTGTATCTCGGTCTTCAACTCAGTAAATGATGTCTTCTGATCGAGCATTAGTTGGGAAAGCATCGTCTTGATGTCCGCTTCATCATTCTTCGCAGGTTGATGCGCTCGATAACCCTGATCCTGCTGCCCGTACCCAGGATTCTGTTGCTCATATCCCTGATTCTGCACCTGAAACCGTGATTGAGTGAAGCCCGGTGGATTCTGAGGGATTCTGGAAGCGCTCTGCTGCTGCGCATTCAATGCTCCGCTTGGGTTTCCGTAGGACAAACCAGGATGGTTCCTAGGCGCGCTCGGGTTGTAGAGGTGTGAAGGATTCTGGTATTGATTCCTTCCAATGTAGTTGATGTCCTCAACCGGTTCTTCCTCTGATGTGGCCTGATCAACCAAAAACATACCAGGCTGGACTTTCTGCGGGATAGACGTATGCTTGAGTCCCATATGCTGCTTGATCGCCAATAAATCAGACATGACTGCCTTCAAAGCAGCGGACTCGCCCAAATCTACCCGTCCTGTAGAGCGTCTGATGCTATCTCCTGACATCCCTCTTGCCTTAGCCATTTTCGCAATCTGCATCTCTAGGGTGTCAAAGGGAATGTCATATACACTCCCTCCACAAGCTGCGTCAATCCATGCTCTAGTATCGTCTTTCAGTCCGTGGATGAACGTGGAAAGCAACAGTCGCTTATCCATGCCGTGGTGTGGACAAAGGCGCTGATAGCCTTTGAATCTCTCCCATGCGTCGTATAGACTCTCATCGCTCTCCTGAGTGAAGCTGTGTATGGCTCTCTGTGCAGCTCGGGTCTTCTCTGGGGAGTA